CTAAGACAATAAATAAACATTACACATTGAATCAGCTGTGAACGCAAAACACACACTATTCATGATGTGATATATACCTCAGCTGCAATATTAAGTCACTTGTACAAGTTTGTGATTTTTAGTCCATCTTGCGGTGCTTCTATATTTTTGTGAATGGGGTTTTGATGACCATTGTTCAGTTCTTAGAGACAAACACACATTGATGCTGTTATAGTGCACCAAGTGCAGCACAGCAATTCACAGCCTTCTCATCAGACATGAATTAAGTATACACGTGTGTGTGTATTTGTATGTACTTTTGAGTCTTGTGTACACGTGTGTGCGCATGGAGTGGGCGAGTTGAGTTTTACGCCGCACTCAACAATATTCCAGCTATATGTCGGCGGTCTGTAAATAATCGAGTCCGGACCAGACAATCCAGTGATCAACAGCATGAGCATTGATCTGCGCAATTGGGAACCGATGACATGTGTCAACCAAGCCAGCGAGCCTGACCACCCGAACCCGTAAGTCGCCTCTTACGACAAGCATGGGTTGCTGGAGATCTATTCTACCCCTGATCGTCACGGGTCGTGTGCGCATGGAAACAGCCGTCGATGTACATTGCACTATGTTACAAATACAAACATCAAAACAGTTCGTATTTGGTGGAAGTTGCATGGCTTTTAGTGTCGATCTCTAGATGGTGTACGAAGCATAACATTTGTTCAAATGGTCAGTTGTTCCGTCAAGAGGTCATTAAATGGGAAGTTTATGGACTGTTGCTATCTTAATCTGCACCTTTCGTGCACAAAGGCATAACTGATTCGGGGAAAACCATTTATAGTCACCTTGATATCTGTTGACTGTCACTGAGGCACGACTCTTCATCTGAATTTGCCGCAAGAAAATTATTGATTCGTATTTTCAGACATAAGATAGTTTTCAGCAACGACAGGATATGAATGATCATCTGGTTCTGCTTAGAAACAGGGTATGTACAGAACCCAGTTTGCTTTAGATACCATGTTGGTTTGAATAAGCAATCTTGAGGGAATACAAGCATTCACCTGTGGCACTGTTGTAACTGAAAGATGTACAGTTACCTCCTTTTACACTCAATCCCACAGGCAGCGCTTGTACTTGTTATGGTTGATGTGGAAACCGCACCAGTCAGCTTCTTGTTGAGCTGTGGAGTCATCTCAACATCCACCCAGCAGTAAAACTGGGTACCTGGTATGATACGATGGTAGTATGAATTTGAACCTTGAGCGCCTGACAGGCGACCGGTTGTATTCTCCACATGGAGTGTTCTGTACTCGTTGACCAGGGGTAATATGTCAGTGCTTTGAGCATGCAATGTGCATGGATAAACGCACAATATAAATGGACTATTATTATTATAAGTTAAATGGCAAAGCAAGGAACTGAGCCAAAATCATCCGTTCATGAGAACTTTAATGTCAGATGTAACTGGTATAATTCAAAGAAAAGATCCATTCTCAATGTACGGTATTTAGAGTAAATTCAAGAAATAGAGGATATTATATGAGTGCCCATGTCATACCATGTTTACGACACGAGTGCCTAAATGTCGGCATTTCCCAAGCGAGAGCAAGGGATATACTTATATGTAGGAACGAGTGTCGTAAACATAGTATGATATGGGCACGAATATAATATTCTGTTTATTACCGAAGTCGTCAAATTGAGGTAGATAAACCCAAATCTACTTGCAAACACAGGCTGGCTACCCGCCATCGCCGCATGTACAACGCAACGTCACAGATGAAACGTGACGTCATAGTTTTGTTCATGAGGTCACGTCACCTTCGCTTCTATGTCTTGAAATTTCTCTATATCTCTCTAAAGTTTTAAGCTTCCTTAGTTTTACATGATATGCATTTTGGATGATGTTATTTGGGAACCAAGTTGTATGATAATAATGTTTCCAGAAAATTAGTTGTTTCATTCCCAAAGTGTTATGAAAACGTTTTTCATGATATTCACGGAAACATGTTGTTGGTAAAGCTTGAAATTTACAGTGAAACGTTTCAGTGTGTTGCTGTACATTAAAAGTAATAAACACCAGACTGAAAGTTGTTATAGATGCAGCTCAGAGTGTTTGTCATCCTACAATTGACGGACGTCACTTTACTCACACCACAATCTCTGTAGGGTGGGATCACTGCGACAAATCTTTCATTGACTGAGACAGCTCCAATACACACTTCTTACAAATCATACAGTGCGCAAGATATATTGATATACAATTCAAGAATACTTAAAATAGTAAATTCCTTTGGAGGAACGTCCCTAGTATGGTGATCTACCTTCAGTTGTTGTCAATCTGTAGTCTGTTTTTATATTCTATTGTTATTAAAAGGTAAAATATTTTAGATTTTAATTAATACAATTAATAGTTATAAATTTATATCTGTGATAATCTAGTTCTTTTACTGTCTTTCGTTGACAGGTTTTTAATACTTACTTTCAATTACATGTACTATAAATCTATAATTTGATTTAGTCACAATATGGCTGAACTACTGCCGATGTGACTTAAAATATTAACTCACTCTTTTGATGAACAGTGATATCCTGACGGTATTGACAGACGCCGATGTGTTCGACCAACAAGCGGCGCACAACACCGTTTCATCAGAGCGAAACCATGGTCAAAGTGCATCTCAAATTCGAGATGAGCGTGACAGAAATGGAGGTGTTAACAGATTCGTAATTTGCATCACAGGTAGAACCTGCATCCAACGTCCACGTGTTATCCCACGATTGACGGGGCGGTAGGATAGCTTAGTGGTCTAAGTATTCGCTCGTCACGGCGTAAAACTAAAGTCACTCACTCACTCCCACGATTGGCAGACCGTCACATTGCCCAAGGGATCAGTGCAGCTGACAGAACACCTTTACATTATATTCACGGACGTGTCACAGGGCAGTGCTACTGGACATCATCCTGGACACACACGTGGCGCCTTTCACTCGCCGTCATGGACGTCGTTTTGTGTTTCAGGCTGAGTACACAAGAGCACAACCGGACCAAATCTTAGCATTAGGAACTTCAGATTACTCTCGTTAATTGGGTCAGAGGTATCCGTGCATTTCTGAAAGCTGTACAATGTCACAACGCAACAAACTGTTTGAAGAACTATTTTATTTAAAGTCCAGACTAGTGTACACACGAGTAATAGAAGATATATTATCAAGGGATACAGGACGATCAGTCTCCTCGTGCTGTTTGCAGTGACACTCACACCAATGCGTGGAGCATACTGAACCTTTCCATTTGATCTTTACATTGCGACATACTTTTATGTCATGCATCTATTCAATTGCATTGCGTACAGGCAATGCTCTTCTCCAGAGTTTACAATAATAACATTTCTAAATCCTGATAATATATGCCCCCAGATAAATGACGCATTTCAACAACGACAGGTGTTACACTTTACACCTTGTAAAACAATTACGCCTTTAGTATGGCAGTGCATTCATACTAAATACAGACACGGAGACTACGTGATAGTGAGTTAGTGAGTGTGTGGGTATAGTTTTACACCACTTTTAGCAATAGTCCAGAAATATCACCACAGGGGGACACCAGAAATAGTCTAAGTCATAAGATAAATGGACAACAGTACAATCGAATCGTAAATAACTATATACACATTGTCTACACATAAACTACAGAATATTCAGATAAAAATGTGTGTTTAAACGATTAGCAGCAAACCACCAGTGTTTCACTTTGAGTTGGGGTTTGAGAGTCAAATACAAAAGAGGATAGAATACATTGAAAACAATTCGTGAAAATGGTGCAAAATATAATTTAAATATTTGACTTTTAATGTATGTAAAAGCCTTCATGTGACACACGCAAAAGACTACACCAAACTGCGATGAATCAAAAGAATAAACCGCTTATCAAATAATAAGCTTGACAAAATCTCACTTGAAATTCCATAGAAGGAACGAATTCAATGAAGTATGATCCAGATGCATCGAATACAAGAATATCCTAGCGATAAGGGTACATATACAGATAAAAGAAAAAAGTCGCCTAGATTTTCTCTCCTCTTGAAATGCGATATTATCAAAAGATCAGTTTTATTTACTGACTAAGACAATAAATAAACATTACACATTGAATCAGCTGTGAACGCAAAACACACACTATTCATGATGTGATATATACCTCAGCTGCAATATTAAGTCACTTGTACAAGTTTGTGATTTTTAGTCCATCTTGCGGTGCTTCTATATTTTTGTGAATGGGGTTTTGATGACCATTGTTCAGTTCTTAGAGACAAACACACATTGATGCTGTTATAGTGCACCAAGTGCAGCACAGCAATTCACAGCCTTCTCATCAGACATGAATTAAGTATACACGTGTGTGTGTATTTGTATGTACTTTTGAGTCTTGTGTACACGTGTGTGCGCATGGAGTGGGCGAGTTGAGTTTTACGCCGCACTCAACAATATTCCAGCTATATGTCGGCGGTCTGTAAATAATCGAGTCCGGACCAGACCATCCAGTGATCAACAGCATGAGCATTGATCTGCGCAATTGGGAACCGATGACATGTGTCAACCAAGCCAGCGAGCCTGACCACCCGAACCCGTAAGTCGCCTCTTACGACAAGCATGGGTTGCTTGGAGATCTATTCTACCCTGATCGTCACGGGTCGTGTGCGCATGGAAACAGCCGTCGATGTACATTGCACTATGTTACAAATACAAACATCAAAACAGTTCGTATTTGGTGGAAGTTGCATGGCTTTTCGTGTCGATCTCTAGATGGTGTACGAAGCATAACATTTGTTCAAATGGTCAGTTGTTCCGTCAAGAGGTCATTAAATGGGAATTTTATGGACTGTTGCTATCTTAATCTGCACCTTTCGTGCACAAAGGCATAACTGATTCGGGGAAAACCATTTATAGTCACCTTGATATCTGTTGACCGTCACTGAGGCACGACTCTTCATTTGAATTTGCCGCAAGAAAATTATTGATTCGTATTTTCAGACATAAGATAGTTTTCAGCAACGACAGGATATGAATGATCATCTGGTTCTGCTTAGAAACAGGGTATGTACAGAACCCAGTTTGCTTTAGATACCATGTTGGTTTGAATAAGCAATCTTGAGGAATACAAGCATTCACCTGTGGCACTGTTGTAACTGAAAGATGTACAGTTACCTCCTTTTACACACTCAATCCCACAGGCAGCGCTTGTACTTGTTATGGTTGATGTGGAAACCGCACCAGTCAGCTTCTTGTTGAGCTGTGGAGTCATCTCAACACGTGGACAGTCACCTGGAATGATTCAGTCAAATCCTGCTATTCCAGACAAAACGGTTCGGTGTCAGATCAAAATACCATATGTTGGATTAATGAATAATTCCACAACGAAGACGTTACAAGCAACGTTGGTTGGTAAAGTTCCGGACTAAGGGATTATTCATTATCTGTCTGAGAAGCAGTCTGACAAGTGACAACACATCGATACAGCCGTTACTATGAAGCCAGCATTAGTTGGTCTGAAAATCCTCTACTTACCAGAGCCAATATTCATGAATTAACGTTCCAAGAAGTCAGCGTTCATGCTGCAATGCAGGCTATCGTAACATGTAGCGTAAACCGCCTGTGTAGATAGGCTGGTAATGCTTTGAGATTAGAAAGACATTCAATAATGGATTGTCTGGCCAAAACTCATTAATCACAGATTGCCACTGCACTGTTTAATGCGACATGGGGCAACAAACAAATACACAACAATTGTTTCTCAAGACGACTGGCATCTTTAGGCACGATAGCACTTCAATGTACATCCCGTATTGTCGCACTTACCTGGACTGGCTGTACGAACAAAGGATCCATAAGCTTCCACCTCACATATTGCACGGCCTGAGGAACTGCTTGATACCCTCAGGTACCTCATCTCCACAGGAGTCGAACAGCTGATATTCTCCGCTGGTTGAAGGGCACGGTTAACACGGGCACACTCCACGCCACTTCCTGGGCACATCGGAGGGTACTGCAGAAACCCTTCCACCACGGCATTGTTGGGATAGGCTGAAGCATCATAAGTTATGTACATTACTGGATTCCAGCAGATAAAATAAAATGGCTGAAGATATCTTGCAACAACACTTTTTGAATGAGTACATTGCTGCATATGCCTTAAAGGATCGTGTCTTACCAACATTCAAGGCACACAGTTCTAAATAATATGCATGCAATATGCCCGCAATTTCCCTTCCAGGAGGTAGCAACGAAGCAGAGGAATGAAGGAACCCGCTTCACTTTTACCATTCACTCAGGACAGAGTGCACACAAACTTATTTCAGCTTATTTCAGAAACTCAACAATAGTTTTGCAAAGTGAACTAGTGGTCGATGGTTTGTTCCCATTGATTCTGCGGGATGCTTGAAATTTGTACCGGAACAAAAGGAATACAGCCTAAAAAAACTGATTTTAGCCAAATGTATTTTACATCTACTCACCACCATCCGTCCGTCTGTAGATGATGACGTGGGAGATGTTGTAGACGTTGGCGAGATCAACTATCCACCAACTTCCACTAAGCATACAGCAAGCTGAGTTGTCGAAATAAACCCCGTCGTTGTAACCGTCGGTGCATAGACCAGCATGGGCTGCCGTGTTAGGAACTTGCTGTACCGCTTGCTTGTGAAGAGCAACATTTTCTAGGGCGACACCTGCAAAATGCGCGGTATCATCATATCATTACTCATTCTATTAGTTTTGTTTTTTTACCAAATTTGGGAAAAAATGAATTTGAGATGGTAGATGAGGAACAGTATGGAATATTTTTTGGATCTGTGTTTAAAAGTGGAAATTATGGAAGTGAATCAAAGTATTTAGAAACATGTTACACATGTACGAATTGAGCAACAAGGCCTATGCCAGGGTTATATGTTGGGCCTTATGATGTTTCTTTTTGTCACTAAGGTGTTTATTGGAAAATCAGATACACGCGATTACAGCTTGTCCTGATCAAGTGAATACTAATGCATTGCGTGACCGTGTCACAACTGATTGGATCTATTGCCGAGAAGGGGTGCACATTTGTCAGTTGATTGTAAACATGTCCGAACAGCCGAGACAAGGTCGCCGTTTGACATCTCATTGTGGGGAAATCATCATCAATGTCCTTACTTACTTTTGAAAAAGTAGCTACAGATCGTTTAATGTTTCCAATTCATGAACCAGAAAAAGTGATAATTGAACTGGGTGTTGAGAGTGATGGCGAGAGTGAATTGGATTGTGAAAGTAACTGACGTCTGTACGTTGTAAAGTTAGTAAACCAAACTAGATAGCGTATGGCTGTATAAACAATTCAATTAAAACATGAAAAGATTGTGTGTGTTTTTTCAGAAGTGTTTGTTTTCCGGGACAAGTGCTGTAAAGACTCCATGCATGTGTGAGGTGTGTTAGCTGAATGGAGCCCACGTAACAGGATAACTGTGTGAGGTGTGTTAGCTGAATGGAGCCCACGTAACAGGATAACTGTGTGAGGTGTGTTAGCTGAATGGAGCGCACGTAACAGGATAACTGTGTGAGGTGTGTTAGCTGAATGGAGCCCACGTAACAGGATAACTGTGTGAGGTGTGTTAGCTGAATGGAGCCCACGTAACAGGATAACTGTGTGAGGTGTGTTAGCTGAATGGAGCGCACGTAACAGGATAACTGTGTGAGGTGTGTTAGCTGAATGGAGCCCACGTAACAGGATAACTGTGTGAGGTGTGTGAATGGAGCGCACGTAACAGGATAACTGTGTGAGGTGTGTTAGCTGATTGGAGCCCACGTAACAGGATAACTGTGTGAGGTGTGTTAGCTGAATGGAGCGCACGTAACAGGATAACTGTGTGAGGTGTGTTAGCTGAATGGAGCCCACGTAACAGGATAACTGTGTGAGGTGTGTTAGCTGAATGGAGCCCACGTAACAGGATAACTGTGTGAGTTGTGACCTCACAGAGATAACACTATTTGTTTTGATTGCTTTCTATCGGCCGAAGCTTTCATCCATTGGACATAAATTGTTTGTTATTTTAAATATGTATTTAGCTATCATCAAGCATGGTGGTACACGAGCACTTTTTTAACTCGGAATTTTAAAATTCACTTGTTATTTTTTTCGTAATCAATTCGATCCGTGAAGGTCCGGGTTAGAATATTGGCCTTCAGTAACCCATCCTTGTCGTAAGAGATGACTAACGGGATCGGGTGGTCAGGCTCGCTGACTAGGTTGACACATGTCATCGGTTCTCATTTGCGCAGATCGATGCTCATGCTGTCGATCACTGGATTGTCTGGTCCAGACTCGAATGTTTACATACCACCTCCATATAGTTGGAATATTGCTGAGTGTGGCGTAAAACTAAACTTACTCACTCACTCTTAATCAATTCAACATTTTGGGCCTGTTTTTTAGAGAGAAACGAGGGAGTAATTGGGTGTACTCCGCTTTGCAAAAGTATTCCAGTTATACAGTCCGATTACTTGCTGTGGACAAAAGCTAAGGTGATCCGAGTCTTCAATATTTCCCGCTGGGTGAATAATGAGGGGGGCTTGTTTGTGTGCACTCAAACGACAACTCAAATTTATGTGTTTATTTGTTTATTACAAACTACCAACTAGGCCATTAGTTTGACATCCCAACTGTCAGACACAGGACTAGGGATTAATTAGGGCAACACCCATATATAAATGGGAATGTCCCAATTTGTTATTTCAACCGGTTAGTTGAACCAAAGGAAAGCTGTTGTGTATAAGCATCTTGGGAGTTATTTTTGATAGAAATGTTCTTTCAAATTATCTTTTTCAAATCTCAGTCAACAAGCTGCTAAAGCCATGTATTTTGTTTTACGCAGAAGTCGAATGTTAAACTTATCAGTACAATGTCAACAGTATCTCTTTGATTTAATGGTGAAACCAATATGTTAATTTCAAACAAATTGAAAATGTACATATGTGTTTTATGTTTTATTACATGTACCCCATTGTATATGCTTTAGGTAGAGTCCCACTTTCTGTTGATGTTACCCTTTTGTATACCAATAAATGAAAGAAAATGTAAATTATGTTGTATGAATGATGTAGGTGAGTTTCATTGTATTCTTAAATACACATATTTTAGAAAAGAAAGATCAATGTATATACCAGGTTCCTTTACAATCAGACCAAGTATGTTAAAATTTAAATCACTCTTTACATGTAAAAAGATTTCTGTTATGAAAAATCTCGGTAGATTCTGTAAATATATCGTGCACATTGTAAAATCTTCTGACTAACTACTATTCCACCATGATATTATCATTTATTGCCATTTGTACCTCATATGACGATGATATCGGCCTGAGTGTAATAAAGTTCTGTTCTGTTATTTATTTTATGGGCCATTCCTTTTCCATTAAGAGGTGACAGGCAGGGGATTAGCTGTGCACTCAACCAGATGGTTTGTTGTTTGATGGTTTGTCTGACAAATGGGAGGATACCTTTCTAATCATCACCAAAAATACCATTTTTGTAAGAAAAAGTAACCAACATTTGCATATTATCAACAAATGAGTTAACTTTGAACAAGAGTACAGGCATGGAAAATGTAATAAGAAAATCCCTTAATCAATTATTTTGCATATCAATTAGGTTCAAAGAAGTGAAGGATGAATAGTATGTGACGTTTCTCATATAACATATTATGTACGCGAATCTATTACATGTATAAATGCTTCATATTTCAAATTTCTCTCTTTGCAAATGTTTTATTTTATCGCATGCATACAAAAACAGTTTACTCTAAGGATCTTCCAAAAATAAAGTCAACCTATACCCGAGTGATATAGGAGGCAGTGTGCTGTCGTCGTTTCTTTTGATAAAATACAATCTGTGTTTTTTTGTTCTGATACCAACCCATTGAACACTTTACGTATTTTTATGGATAAGCATTAATCAAGCACCGTGTAGCATTTACATCGATATGAAAGCATGATTTGCATATGTTCGGAATTCCAAATTCAGCGTATTAAAAAGGCAACAGCAACATATGTTACTTCCATAACAAAATAAATAAATTGAAAGCGAAATGCGGTTTTAATTGTCTCATAATCTGTGAGGTTTGCAAAGAGAAGAGAATTTCATAAATGCCGGAAAGTATGGTCGCCATGCTCGTCATGATATGGCTGAAATATTGCCGATGTGACGTTAAATATTAACTCACTCACTCACTATGGTCGCCATGCGGCGCCATAAATATAATTGTCACATAATCCTCGAAAAATCATGCTTGTGATTCTATGAACCGCCACTGGTGGGGTAGCCAATCCTCGTGGATGGCCTGCGTCACTTCAACAAGATGAATTCTCCTTTGCGCTTGGCGTTCAAGTTGGTCCCCAAGATGTTCGATGACGTTAATATCGGAATTAATTGCCGGCCATGGTAATGTTTTGATGGCGTCGTTCTGCAAATGGACAGCTCGATTACGGTGAGGTCTGACATTTTCATCCACATACATCGGATGACTGGCGAGGGGTGGTTGTGACATGTCGCACGAAGGCAGTGTTCGGAACATATTTGTGATGACGTGTGAACAATGAGAGTTCCGAGGTAATGAGTTGAAAATACGAAACGCAAAATTGATACCATCACTCCACCATCAAGGTTTCCTGCTGCGTGGATCATCTCCTCATGAAACGACCATTGGTAAAGTGTGAAGATAGATCGATGTACCCTACGCCATGTTCTCAAGTTACAGTGTTCTCGGATGTCTACGCCAGACGATCCTGTTACGTGGTATGCAAGTGAACGCACCAATTGCGAGTTACGTCCCTTTGATATGTGTGCTACGTCATTAGTTGGTGTAGTCAGCCATGATGTTCAAGTAAAAAGGATCATCGTTCATCTCCTCTTTTGTTGTGCCTTGTTCTGAATCACTACACATAAACGAACACGTAACATGGTGGCAGCAGGTGACTACGAATGCTCTCGCCCGTACGATTTCGCTCTCAATAGTGAAATTTGACTCTCTCTCTTACTGTAATGTGTTGCACTCTCGCCCTGGCGCGGCCCACGTGCGTCGTCCTTGTGGATGTGTAGTGAACTCAATCTCTCTTCTCTATTCACCGATATGGTAGATCAAGTGCAAGCACAACCAGTTCTCAAACCGGTTAGCGGAATTAGACCTCCAAACTTCAATCTTGACTCCAACATTGCCGAAACTTGGACGTTTTTTCGTCAAAAATGGAGAAACTACTACATTCTCACTAAGCTATCTGACTATCCTCACAAGTATCAAGTTGCCATGATTCTAAACACTCTCAGTGATGATGCCCTGAAAATCTATAATGGATTTCACTTTACTTCTCCTGAAGAGGAAAGGACTGTAGCAGAAATGATTGAAAAGTTTGATGCATTTGCAATAGGAGAAGTAAATGAAACATATGAACGTTTTGTCTTCAATAACAGACGTCAGAAGGAAGGTGAATCGTTTGAATCATTTCATGGTGCAATCAGAAATCTTGTAAAAACATGCAACTATTGCAGGGAGTGTGTACCCTCTATTGTTAGAGATCGTCTTGTGCTAGGGATTAGAGATCAGACAACTCAGCAATCTTTGTTGAGAGAACGAGGCTTAACTCTAGAAAGATGTATTGACATTTGCAAAGCTTCTGAAAATGCCTCTACTCAATCTAAGGTTCTC